CTTTTGTTTCTACATGCAGCAGCTTTCATATGTAGGAGTTCACTTTTACCAAGTTCAGGTCTCTCCAACTGTTGAATATTTATTTTAATCCCGTTTTAATTGTTCCACAACCTACACGTTTGTCAATTTAAAACGTTGAGAAAATCTCAGTTTGTAATTAATGGCACAAATTGACCCTTTGCTAAGCCCCTCCCCCCTTGGTTACTGTTGCTAGGCGTGTGAAGCTTTTGCACTAGACGTGTCAATATGCCGTTTTTCATCAATATCAGTGAGATTAGTGACATTATAAAGCAGATAATAGCAGCTTTCTGGAATAACTGTTCTGAAATATCAGAGAGAAGTGAGACAGAATGGACAACAATATGCATCTGAGAGCTAACGTTACATTAAGAATTGTAATGTTCCTGCACAGCACGGTAAATCAAGATATTGCTGTTGTTAACGTCAGGGGCGTTTCTAGGATTCAAAGAAAGGGGGGGCTTAGCCCCAAGGGGAGTGGCATTTTTGCGGGCAATTTTTTTTGGGGCCCATTTGGGGCCGTGGATATCCATTGTTTCAGACAGTTCAGATTGGTTCAATCAGAGAGAGTGTGATTTTGCTCTGTAGTTTTGCTTGCATTCAGTATATGATAACACAAGAGACAGAATTTCAGGGTCATAGTGAAATTTGACAACACAAATATGAACTTTTCTCAAATAAAGAGAGAAATAAATTTCCTGGTTGTAAAGGAAAGATGGATAAACTACCTTTCATATCCGCGTCACTCCCAAATCCTAATTCTTGAAGGGACCGCACACAATTGATGGAGAATGGACCTGACAGTGTCAACTTTATATTGTTACGTATGATGATACGCTGTTGGACTGTAATTTGAAGGGGGAGAAAACATACAAACCAGAACGCATGCACATATGTAGCATGTTAGAGTTATAAATAACTTGTCCATGTGAGAAACAATAGTTTAATTTAATGACATCACCAAAAAAAAAAATATATATATATATATATATTTTTTTAATCCAATAATGCCAAATTATTTGGGGGGGCTGAAGAACATGTTAGGGGGGCTTCAGCCCCCTAAAATAGGCCTAACGACGCCCCTGGTTAACGTCAGTTATGACTCCTTATAGCTTTCATTATACAATATAAAATATTGCTCGCACATCGTAGTGCTTGATCTACGCACTGGATCTTGTAAATATTAATAAGAATTCATATTCTTATTCATTTAGTCTTTGTTTGCTAACGTGTCAGGCTAGCTAACATTATTGTCGTCTTACCTCGGAGCGAACAAAGATGTTTGTTGGTCTTTGATGGATTCAGTTGTGAGTAAAGTCTTCCGCTCTGTTTAATCTCTCCTCTAGAGAAAAAAATATGACATCTAAACTTTGAGGATATCTGTCAAATTTAACGTTCACACACACACCGCTGAAAGCTTGACAGGCCTCCCGCGCCTAGTTACGGTTGCTAATGTAGGATTGGACAGGGGCCTTTTGAGGGAGGGGCTTAGCAAAGGGGGAAATTCAAACTGGATCATTATTCAGTCTGGCTTTATGGCACAAACGCCTGTGCAAAAGCACACCGACTATAATCCTGCGGGCTTATTATTAATTCTTCAATGCAAAAGTTTGGCGCTCTTCTCCTCACACAGCGTTGCCAACACTTAAACAAAAAATACATCAAAACGTGCGGCCTCATCGGGCATGGTCTGCCATGACTGTTCCCAGAGATTCGCCCAGCAGTTTTACCGAAAATCACGAAAAACAAAGCAAAATTGCTCCATTCACTTCCATTTCGGTTTCAAGAGAGCTAAAAACACTTCACTTTGGGCCCACATTAACTAGCCATACTTTAACGAAGAAAAATGATTTGAAGTTTAAAACGTAGACAAAACGCTGGACTTTATTGAGTCAAATGGACATTTTGATAGCTAGCACAGTTTTCATGAAGTCACAGATTAAGTTTCAGGAAAATTTTGGGTCCGTTTCAGATTTCATAATGGGTGTGTATTGCACAGAATGTTCAGCGCTAGAGTGAAGACATCTTGGTCAGAGTAGAGCGGAGCATGAAAAGTATTCTGTGATTTTTTCAAACAAATTGCTCCCAGTCCCACAATTTTTACTCTTTATACACCATTTTTGGCCAAAACGATAGAACATTTTGTGCTCGTCACACGCATGTGTCCATGGAACCCAACAGACTTACACATTTGGCTCAAAGAGCCGCAGAGCGACATGAACTCCAACCAACTGCTCCATTAGACTCCATGTTAAATATCACCACTAATTTCTCAAAGAAAGCAGATGTTACCAGTTTTGTATATTGCTCTGGAGTTCACATTTTTAAAACCACAAACATAAAAACCACATCAGCGCGTTTGGCAGAGTCTTATCTCCCTCATGGTACCCATATGTTGTTGATTGGACTCATAGTTTTAGTATAAAGGGCAGAGGTTTGACAGGTAGTTTTGTTGAAAATCCCTGTTTACTCCAATCTCTTAATTAGCCTCTAAGACACAGGTGCTACAATCACCATGGCAACCAGTGACGCACATGGATACAAGTCACCTCAGATACAGACGAGGGGAGCGACAGCTCCACATCTCTAAGAGCCCTCATGGTCACATTTTAAACTCCACAAACATAAAAGTTATACCAACGCGTTCTGCAAAGTCTTTCCTCTTTGTTGATAATAATATTTTGGTGATCTCCAGTACAGAAATGACGGGAGCCATTTGTGGACTGTCCATCACGAATACAAGAATCAATCTAAGAGTATGAATCTAAAATGCAGAAAAGTTCAATTGAACCTCAACGACACTACTGGTAATGTTGGTGTAAATATATATTTGCGATGTCTTCGGGCAGTAGCAGCCACACTGTCAATTTCTTGTGAAATGTTCTAGTTTGTCTCCAGTACATATTTCAAACTGATTTTCTGTTTCATTTTTATTGGTTGATTTTACTAAATTATTTTACAAAATGTATTTTACTTTTTATTTATTTCTTAGTTTATTTTTATCGTATCGATTGTCTCATTATTGCCTCTCTTTTGCTGCGTTGTCTGTCAAAGCACTTAGTAAACTCTGTTTTAAAGGTGCTATATAAATAAAGTTATTATTATTATATTTGTTCTGAAATAAGGTCCCATGGTGGTGCACCTGAAGGGGCAGGACTTCACCTCTCTACAGGTCACAGCTAAGCCAGAGTTTGTTTGTCCCAGAAGAGAATACTTTGTTCGTTTTAACTCGCAGTCCAGCACTTTATGCTTCCTGTTTTGTTTTTCCTACCTGCGTGGAGGAGAAGCCTCCGTAGTAGTTCTGCTTGGTCGTCAGCCACCTGATGATGCGTGTGGCGTAGCCGAGGTCTTCAACCGTCGGAGAGGCGCTGAGTTTAGCCAGCAGCACGTAGGCGCTGATCTCCACGGAGAGAGAGGCCGACGTTGAAGTCTGAGACCAGTGGAGGAAACCTCCTAAAAACAGACAAGGTGAAGCTCCATTCACAGTGATGAACGGAGAGAGATTTCCTTCAGGAGGATCCCTACTCACCTTGTTGTATTGAGACCGAGTCCAGGTGCCCCAGAAGGTGACCTCTGGTCTCCATGTCTCCTGCCAGGGTGAAGACATATGCCATCAGAGCCGTGGTGTAGGTGTTACTGAGGTCACGCATGGACTCTTTGAGGCACAACAGGCTCTTCTGTACTCTAGGGTCCTGGAACAGATCATAAATAACTTGTTTTATTGTTCTACACACAAGTTCATTCGAACGAATTCATTTATTCAGCAAAACTTTAGACAAAGAACTTCAGTAAATGGAAGAAAAAGAGAAAAAAGAATCTGATTGACCTGCTGTTGATAGAATAAAACTGACAAATAACTTATTTTTGTTTTTATTTTACTTGGGAGATTTTTACAAGAAACAACAATCTCAGACAGACTGAATGTTTGAAATAATATATAATGTTATAATATTAATACAAAAATGAACTAAGATTGACATTTATTTACAAAAGAGTATATCAAAAGTATATCAAAAACTATAATAACTCATTACAGCCGTTTCTCGCGAGCTTTTATAATTATTCTTTTTATTTACTTTAATATAAATAGTACAGCAACACCTAGAGGTCGTTTTTGGTATTGAACCATACTGTGGAAGACGTGTGAGTTTTGGGTATTTTGTTGGGTTTGATCTTAGTTTGATGAACTTGTTCATTTCCTCACTGATTTGTACTTTTTGAAAAGGTGTGTTTATTTTGGTTAATACTTTTTTTTAAAATTTAGTTTATGACATGAGTCAGTCAGTCAGAGCAGTTCAACTTAACCCATCAACTCTAAAACACTACGTAACGTTAACTAACTATGTGAGGAATTTAGGTTTAGAAGTGTATTTTAGTAGGATTTATAGCAGCACTAGAGGTGGATAGTAAAATGTTAGCAAGTATGTGGTATGCCACTTTATACTTTAAACTAAAAAATGTATAAAGTATTTGGAACATCACAAGAATACTTATCAAATGTATCATATGTTGACAGTAGGTTTGCCGTAGAAGTGTTGAGCCATAAAAGACAATCATTGAATGTATTAAACTGAAGAATAGCCAAGGGACAGACAGGGATTTTGAGACAGGCATTTCAGAGACCACCAGGACCAGAGGAGGAAGTAGAAGCTGGGCCTAACGGAAGCAGAGTGACGCGCAGAAGGAGCGACCTACCAAAAGCCAATAGGTCACGCGAGGGCGGTCAGCTGGCTGAAGCCAGGAGGAGTCAGCTGGATTTAAGCCAATTGTAACTGAGACAGACATTTTGTGGATGCTTTACGGACTTTGAAAGGAGATTCAAAGGAAGAAGTTGTTCAGTTCATCACATTTCATCCTGCAGGTATCACGCTTCCTGGTTGGAGCGTGTGTGGACTCTTTTCCGGGGATCATATTTCTATCGATATTGTAATTCAGATTGTAACTGTTTAGCCTCTGTAATTATTAAATACTTTTTTGATTATAAACCGGATCCAGCCGACTTTTTGGCACGCAGCAGCGAGAGACGTGCGGTCTTCCACAGTTCCGAGAGGTTCAACTCCCAACATAACTTTCTGTTTCTTTCTCCCTTGTCTGTGTAAAGTTCTTGGTTTGTGTAAAAATCATTACAAAGGAAAATTCTTATCTAAAGTTATGACATTATTCGTGGTGCATTAGTTGCTTCTACTCACTTCTACGGCCGTATTCA